GCCTACCATTTCCACCATCCTATCCATCCCCCTGGGACAATAGTCACTAGCTGGTCTGACATCTGACAAGCATAGGTTTGAGCCCTCACTAAGCAAATAGCAGGTACCAGGGACTCCCTGCGAGCTTTCCGGTGCGCAAACAGCTCAGCATGAAATGTATGAAACCATTGCCACCGTCTTCTTGCCCACAGCTCGGACACACATCCAAGATGTCACATTCAGCAAATGTCCAATACACAAAAATGATACAGTACTTTTAGAAATGTTAAATTAATGTTAGTTGGTAGCACACTTGTCTCCAGGTCAGAAGATTATAAGTTCAGTCCCACAAAGAGAGTTGATCTTAAACTCTAGACTGGCATTTCAGTGCGGTACTGGTGCAGTCCTTTAGATGAGTTCCCATCTATCTATTTCTTAAGTAAAATGTGCAGAATCACATGACAACATTTGAGAAGAGAGCAGAGCTTCTCTTGAGAAACATTCCAACAGATTAATTGGTTGTTCACACTGATAATAATAAAAATAATAATACTCCTTGCGTTTGATACAGCGCCTTATGTCTTCGAGACGTCCCAAAGTGCTTCACAGAGTATGCTGCAAAGTGAATTGATTGCATATTCTGTAGGCGAAATGCGGCAGTGAATTGTGCACTGCGGTGTCCCACAAACAATCATGGATTTGAGTGATCAATTATTTTTTTTTGAAGGAATTATTATCTCCAGAAAAGCGATCAGCCAATTGACCAACAACCGGGTTCCTACTTATTGCTAGGTAAACAGAGGCATATGGAGTAAGGGAACTTGGCAATAATTAATTCACCTGCCCTGTAATTGGTCTTAGAGTTAAATAAATGGGGTGAATTGCTGCCATTCTGCCATGACCTATTGCTAAAATAGGATGGATTCCAACTGGTATGTCTACACTCGGTTTGGATCAACTGGAATGGAACTATATTGGTCTGGGATCATTCGCTCACAAACTCACCCAAACGCCTAGGCTTCTTGGATCCAAGCTTAGGGATGGAAATCCGGAACAGAGCTGCCCCCTACTGTACTGTACTCAGCAACCCATGTCTTCACAATCTTTACATTCGACAAGAAACCAATAACGTTACCCAATATAACCACTTTACTGGCATACAATCAAATCAATAGGACTATCTACAAATACAACATAATGGCTGTTTGTAGGATTTTGCTGTGTGCAAGAATATAAGTAGAGATACTGTCTTACAAAAATAGTTACTACAGTGACTGCGATTGTGAAAGCTTTGAGATGTTTTGATGTGATAAAATGCTATGTTACAGGTGCTATAATAATCCTTGTATTTAATATAACAATTAAAACGTCAAGGAGTCACGCCTGCAATTGCTGTCACGTGTTATGTATTTGTAGCCAGGTCCCATAAACAGCTGAGAACTGAATGATCAATTTATTTGGAATAGTGTCAAGTAGACAGGCAGGCATGATCTTGGTTTAGTATCTAATCGAAATGACAGTACCTCAAAATGCAATTTTCCCCCAGTGCTCACTGGGAAGTTAGCCTACTCTGTACACTTAAAGTCTGACATTGGGTGTGAATCAATAACCTTCTGACCCAGAGATGTGAATGCTATCAATTGAGCCAAGCTGACCCCTACAAAAATCAAAACAGTTTTTTGGTAGTATGAAATTGTCTTGCTTTTATTGTTGATAGGAATAATAATCCTTATGTTTGATATGCATCTCTCACATTGGGAGAACATCTCAAAGTGCTTCACAGGATGTATTATAAAGTGGAGTGACTATTATATGAAAATATAGCAATATGATTTTGTTTTGAAACCTAGTTGAACGATGAGCATTTTTATACAATAAAAGCACTACATGTACACCATTGCTGCACTTTATGGCAAATCCTGTGAAGTGTTTTTAAATGTTCAACAATGTGCTAAGGTGCTATATCAAACGCAAAGATTATTAATGCTGGATACCACAAGAGATTATAACTTGTACATTAAGTAGAATAAAAGATGGGTTTATTAAATTGCACAGTGAGTCCTGAAAATAAAAACTACATTAGCATGCAACAGGATTACACTGCATGTGAGGTGAGAGGTTACAATTTAGTCTTCAAAAGAAAAAGTAGATTTGTGCACAAGGTAATGTGTTTGTTTACATCCATTTCAATAAAATACATCTAGAGATTTGCATGTGGTCCAAAACATGCTGGAATTCGCCGTGCAGCCTAATACTCAAAGCTAACCTAAATCTACAATAAAAAATGTGTTTAGGCAGATTGAGAAACTTGACAAATGGGTGTTTTTGAGGTCTCAAATTAATGAGATCTGCTTATAACTCCAAGGCACATACTGGCCTGATTATATATAACCACTTACAACATACAAAGTTCAGTTTTTACTGTAAATCTATAAATGCTAAGTATCTATATGGTATATGGAATCTGGTAGTTACCAGTCATTGCAATGCATAGGATCAATATGATTAAATTGGGGATATAAAATGAACAGTTTAAGCTCAAGAGACCCAGAATGTCACATGGTCTTAATATGAAAGATTCCCACAGTTAACTCTCTTTCAAATTCAGGAATCCCAAGAATTTTCCAAAATTCTGCACAATGTTAAATGTTAAGATAATGGTTTTAAGGCTAACACTATTTACTCAAAAGATTGGCAAAATGAATAGCAGCACAGCAGCATAATGGTCGACATAGTTTCATCAGACTACGTAAGGCTAACACCTTGAGAAATTTTGGCCTTCAGGCTAATTCAATCTTGGCTGCACAAATGTATCTAGGTTTGATTGGCTCTGGAATTGACTCTAGGTTGACTTTGATACTGTAACATACATTAACAGACATTGAGGGTGCCAAATTGGAACCAATTAAGTAAAACCCCCACAAAACAGAGAGCTGGGAAACTGTTTTTGTTTCAGATTCCAGCATCTGCAGTATTTTGTGTTTTATTCATGTTTGACTCACTGCCACTTTTCTTCTAGGAATGCCTACCTGAAGAAGTTCTGCTCTTCTCTTCGATGTGACTTTCGTTCCTTCCTTTTACCCTGCTCCCCCTCCTTGGAGTCCTGTAGCTCAGTGGTTAGAGCACTCGCTTTGCAAGTGAGAGACCTGAGTTCAATTCCAGGCAGAACGAAACCTTGGGCAAGTTTCCTTACTCCACACGCCTAATAATAATCCCTCCAAAAACCCAAAACAATAATAAATTGGTCACTTTCAATCCATGACTGTTTGTGGGACACTGCTGTGCGCAATTGGCTGCCACGTTCGCCCAATTCACTTTACAGTATACTCTGTGAAGCACTTTGGGACGTCTAGAAGACGTGAAAAGCGCTGTATCAAATGCAAGGATTATTATTATTACTATCTGTTTCATGTTCTGACGAAGGGTCGTGGACCTGAAACGTTGACTCACTATCCTTTTCCATAGATGCTGCCTGACCTGCTGAGTTTTCCCAGCTCTCTGTTTTTGTTTTAAGTAAAACCCCCCTCGGTTTCAGGCTGTTCTTGACTTAAACTGATTTCAATATGATCTGGAGGAACCTTGATTGCCAAATAAACCTGTTTGTCTTATTGACAATGTAACAAAAAGTTAACTATTGCAATTCATAACATTTCTAGCACCATTAATCTTGAGAGAATACTATTCCCAGATTTAAAGCTTGAGCCTTTCTGAATGTAAAGCATCCCAGTATCACACTTTTGTTATGCAAGAGATTAATGTCCTGCTTGAGGAAAATACCCTGATGTGTATGAATTCTGGATTTCCAAATAACAGAGAGAAGTCCGTATCACTAGTGTTACAAAACTGGTCATGTCAAAGTTATATCAGTCAGACAGCTGATACTGGTTTTGCTGCAGCATTCACATTGCCTGCTCTAATTCCAGATACCTGCATTTAGTTGGGTGACTCGATGACCAGTATCACTCACCCCAAAGAACTGGAGCGAGTCCAATGCTCCCAGAAAGACATTTGAATATACAGTACATCGAAATTTGACACATCTTATTGGGATGGGTGCATCAATTGATTGATGTCTGCTAATGAGTAAATTGAATTTGTGAGCACCTGGTTGAAACAAGTCATATACACTGGCCTTAAGTTTTCCCCATATCTCAGAGCTCCAGTGTGCCTTCTCCTGCATTCTGTATCATTAATGTGTAACAATATTCCCAATTCAGAGAAAACTGGAGTTCCACTGTCTGCAAAACAGGACTGTCTAGCTGCATCAAATGAGATTTTAACTTTTAATGCATTTCACTTATGCAGGAGGTGTAATTCTGACATGAGTTTGGCTGCAAACAAAAGATATACCTGAAGCCGTAACTACTCTGCTCAGAAACAGTCCCAGTTTCTCACAAAAAGAATAAAGATTAAGAAAGGAGCAGTGTAGAAAAGACATATAAAATTTACCTTATAATCTAAAGCAAATTGGATTTGTTGGGGAGAGTGGAAATAAAAACAGCATATTGCTGTAAGCAGGACTTTAGGGCCTTTGAATACCCATTACTGAAAAGTCCCAATGCTGGAGATGGATTTGCAAAACATCAATGGAATTACTCCATCAAGATAGGATAGATTGAATGTATGCACCTGGGTGAAACAGACCACACACACTTCAAAATTTAAAATATCATATTCAGGCTCCCTTCAGGCCCCAATGAGTAAAGGCAGCACTCAGGATAACAATGTCACAGGTTGGAATTTGCCAGAATTAGCTCATCACAACCAGACCAGTGATTTGGTTTTGGTATAAATAGTCACAGCTAGGCTAGGAAAATGAGGGGAAAATTATTCTAAACTCATTACAACTAATGCTGATCCTGTCCCCAATGCTAGTTCCAGTAAGAATCATTGGGATAGTGATCAGAAATGGGAATCTTAATTGATTTTTCCCTTGCTGAAGCCAATTGTAGCATCCAACTGCTGCACCAGCTTTGATCAGGTAACTCAGCACAGAATAATATTGGAGCACTGTTAATTCTTCACATAGTGGTCTGATATTCATTAGTATTCTTAAGCAGAGGTTGTTGCTCCTCAGTGGTGCCATTTTGTTTCTTTTTCTTGGTGCGGGCCATTGCAATGATAAGACTGAATATTGCGTTCACGAGAGCCCCAATTACTGCTGCGCTTAGAAGCCAGGGCCAGATCCGCCGGGCTTCCTCCAGATAAGGGGCCAGAAAATTCTGAACAGAACGTGGAGCTGGAACATACAAGAAAACATTGTTAGTAATAATAATCGCATTTTTGATTTCGTGCCTTATCACGTCTTTGAGATGTCTCAAAGTGCATCACAGAATATACTGTAAAATGAATTACCTGTATAATTTCTGGGCGAAATGTGGCAGCCAATTGTGGACAGCAGTGTCTCACAAACAGTTGTGGATTGAGTGATCAAATTATTCTTTTTTTTTATTTTGAAGGCATTATCGCCCCCGGAAAAGTGATCTGCCAATCGACAAACCACCAGGTTCCTTCTTACTGCTGGATGAACAGAGGCATGTGGAATAAGGAAACTTGGCCAATGTTTCACCCTGCCTGGGAATCGAACCCAGGTCCTCTCGCTTGCGAGGCGAGTGCTCTAACCATTAAGCTGCAGGACTCCACAAGATATCCATGGGCCCATATACACACAGGTAGAAAGCAGCTATGATTTTTCACATGTCTCCAGGTTTGCAGAATTCAATATTTTTAGAAAGATGCAAGGGGAAGAATTGAAAAGAGAGGCCATTTATTCTCAATTTTGCTCTGATGGTTTGTCATCTAGTTCCTGATTATACTCACAACCTTGTAGATATTTCTTTGCCATTGGTTATTCGGGAAGGGAGAAAGAAGAAACCTCTGGACAGGCTACACCTAGAGTATTGATATACAGAGTGCTCTGAGACGCTATCCTGCATAACACAAAATGGTAGCTCAGGTCTTAGAGGCAGCGCAAAGGAAAGCAATGAGGATGATCTCCATTCTTAGAGGAATGTGCTATGAATAATGATTAGAAGAGGTAGGGTCCTTCAGTTTTGAGAGAAGACATTGCAGAAGGGACCTTATAGAGGTGCATAAAAATTTAAATGGGATTGACAAAGTAAACGCAGACCAATATTTTAGGATGCACCAACAGTACAAGAAGCAATTAGTTTGATGGCTAATTGCCCTCCTTCTGATCCTATGTCCAAAAGTTTAAGCTTGAAGTTAAAGAACACAATGTTTTGAAAAACGTATATGCTGAATATTAATTGAACTCAAGTTAAATGTGCACTCACATTTTTTAGTTGAAGCAGATGCATCTTACCTGGTTCAGTCAGGTAATCATAATCATATCCAAGCTCTTGTGATGAGAGGAAGAATTCAATGTTTCTGTAGATTGGAATAAAAGGCACCATATAATAGTCACGATTATGACCTATTGGTGTATTCATTGCTGGATAAATGTCTTGAAGAGGCCTGTGTCTCCTGAGCCATTGCTCAAATATACTGCAGTAGGAAAAGCAAACACTTTAACAGTTCTGTTAGTTACACAGTTCATCTCAAACAAGAGTTATAGAGCGCACTTATAGCTTATCATTTTAATAATGTATTCTTCATTGAAAAGCATCATTTTGTGTTTTTAAAAGCACATCTGTGTTGAAGCAATGGTCCATATTAATCGCACAGTCCCTGGTCTATTTAAAGTGCTAAAGATACATCATCAATTTGAAGTGGAATTCAACTTTATTTAGTTATTTTTACTTCTGAACAGCTTACCGATAAACACAATCCTCTGTTATTTGCAATGGAGTCCTGTAGATTACTGGTTAGAGCACTCGCCTCGCAAGCGAGAGGGCCTGGGTTTGATTCCTGGCAGGGCGAAACGTTGGACAAGTTTCCTTACTCCTAAACACCTCTGTTTGCATGGCAGTAAGTAGGAATCCGTTTATTAGTCGATTGGTGGATCACTTTTCCGGGTGTAACAATCCCTTAAAAAAAAGTGATCATTCAATTCACGACTAATTGTGGGACACTGTTGTGCGCAAATGGCTGCCGTGTTTCACCCACAAAATATACAGTCAAATCACTTTACAGTATATTCTGTGAAAGGCTTTGAGATGTTATAAGGCGCTTTATCAAATGCAATGATTATTATAATTGTAATAATAATAATATAATAATTATGTTATATCATTACTGCATCTAGTGCACCTGGCTTGTGCTCTTAGGGTGTAAAAGGTGATTATTCTTTATAGATTTGATCACACATTCAATAACACATCAAATCTGTTAAGAAACATTTTATTTTCCATCACTTTATCTTTTACAGTTGTGCATAGTCTTCAATGTTAGGACTTGAAGTATTAATCATATACAGATGGTCCATTTACATTGTTACTCCCCAATCAAAATGCAAGGCTCCTTTGCCACATTATCACTGAAACCTTTGTTAAGTATGTCCTTGTGACCTGCTGAGCAAAAAGCACAAGATATCACAAGGCTCAACTAGCTATCACAAAAAAGGTTCAGAGGAAAAAGGCTCTTTAGCCCATTTGATATATTTTCCAATCATTTACTATGCGTTAAGAAATAATTCTTGATGCCTGTCCTGAAACTACACTGCACTGAATCTGCGCCTCCTTGTCAATAATAGTAATCCTTGCATTTGATATAGAGCTTTCCATGTCTTTGAGACGTCTCAAAGTGCTTCACAGATTATACTGTAAAGTGAATTGACTGTATATTTGTGGTCGAAACACAGAGCCAATTGCTCTCAGTAGTGTCCCACAAACAGTCGTGGATTGATTGACCAAATAAGTATTGCTTTTTTTCTTCAAGGATCATTATCAGGCACTGGAATAAGGAAATTTGCCCAAGGTTTCTCCCTGCTGGGAATCAAACCCAGGTCTCTCACTTGCGAGGTGAGTACTCTAACCACTGAGCTACAGGACTCCACAATTAGGGTTCTGTAGCAGTCCCCAATTGTTCTGCTGACCTGGTACATATAAAAGTCTTGTTTTGGGCCTACTTGCTCAATCCCATTTAAAATCTTATATGCCTCTAAAAGGTCCCTTCTGAGACATTTTTTTCAAGGTTTAAGAGCCCTAGATATATAATTCTTTCTCTTTTGTCATTTCTCTAACATTAAGGATGATCATCATTGCTCTCCTCTAATGTTGCTGTGGACCAGAGTCATATAAAATATGTCAGTAATGGCCTAACCAGTACCTTGTATGTAAAACATTTCAATACATTACACTCATTAATACAACACAACAACAACAAAATTACATTTATAGAGCGCCTTTCACGTCCGGAGGACGTCCCAAAGCACTGAACAGTCAGGTGTCGGGGCCCGAGCATGGGGGAGGGGTGGTGTAGGGGTGAGGGAAGGCAGAGAGGTGGGAGGGAGACCAAAGGCATGGTCGAAGAGAAGGGTCTTGAGACCGATCTTGAAGGAGGCAAGGGACCGTGGGATGGAGTTTCAGAGTGTGGTGTGAGAGAGGCTGAAAGCCCGCATCGATGGTAGGGCGGGTCGGGCGGGAGACATGGAGCAGGCCAGAGCCCGATGAACGGAGGGAGTGGGCAAGCTCGTAGGGAGTCAGCAGGTCAGAGAGGTAGGAGGGGGCAATTGGATGGCCTTAAAGGTGAGGACGAAGATCTTGAACTCGATCCTCTGGGGGATGGGAGTCGGGCGAGGGTGGGAGTGATGGGGTCATGGAGCCTGGTGCGTGAGAGTACACGAGCTGCAGAGTTTTGGATGATCTGCAGCTTATGAAAGGAAGAGTTGGGAAGGCCGATGAGGAGGGAGTTCCCGTAATTAATCAATACCATTGGTACCCATTGGATTGACATTTGGGACAGGGTAAAAGAAAAGTTCTATTCTACTGAGAGGTTCGTCTCACACTCACCTGTCAACAAACACATGATGAAGTAAAAAGATTGGATCATTTGCTGATCCAGACACTTGGGACATTGAGCCATTCATGTAAATGTGTAAGGCATTATGTAAACTACTTTGTGATGTGTTAGATATACCAGTATTTGGATTGGCAAAACCTGTTTGAAAAGAAATTAAAATGTTTATTATGTCAATGAATCAGTTAATTGTCTAGATTTTTCTTTTGTCAGCCAAGTGTCTGACTCATGCAGAAATCCATCACCATACTTAAGACTATACAAAACAGACTGAGAGTTCCTTATATGTATGCCACGAATACATGGATATTTCCCTGCGTCTGGAATGGAATGTATACTTCTTCCCGGAGGTACTTATTTTACATACCTAATTCCAGAGTGTATTAGGCCCCGAGAGTACTAACCCTGCCTCCTTCATATGACAACATCAAGCATCATTGTCCTGGCCTCAACGACCCTTCCTCTTAACCTATTTCAGTGGATGATGTTTACAGCATGGCATGCACTGGAGTATTGGCATTATTAATTTTCTGGGGCATTATCAAACCAGCATCTGGATGGGGGAGGGGAGGGAAATTGCAATGCATTTATTTATAAATTATCACTGGCAATAACTAACACATCCTAGTAAATTCGAACCCATCATCATCTTAATTCATTGATGGGCTTCACTTAAAACCTCCTCTCCCCTTTGTGACTCAGTCACACAGTTGGCCCCCAAAACTACCTGTAGCAACCACTGGTGTTCCTACCCAGGCGATTTGGAGTGCTGGTTCACAGGATGCCATTTGCATCCTGATTTTCCCCACTAACCGGAATTCCAATGCTAGGATTTCAGACAAGTATAAATGACATAACAAATATCGCAAACTTTACCCCAACAATAATACTGCATGCTTTTATTCAGGGTATGCTATCTGTTGAAGGAGTCAAAAGAATCTTACCTTCCAAGGTGTTTCGGAAACTAAAATTTGCAAATTTATCAAACGGTGCAGTTTCATACTCTGTCAGGCTCAACGAGAATTCCACATCTGCTGAGGTTGGAAGATTCGGTGTCTTGGTTCGGTCGTGGTGCCCTGGATTACGTAGAATGGGTCCCTCAGGGGTGCCGTCACACAAAAAATTGCCATTATTGTAATCCTCTGATCTGGTACAAATCACCTGCTCCACCCCCCCAAAAAAATCATATATGTAATAGTATATGTAATCTTTGCCCTGAAGTTACAAAATATAGTGAGACAGAATTTTAAAATAGTTTGCCACTCATTTACTAATTATTTATAAATGGAATGTTTTAAAAGACTGAATATGTAATAATAATCTGTGCATTGATTTTGTGCTTTATCACATCAAAACACCTCAATGTGCTTCACAGCGTTTTCTGTAGAGCGTAGTGACTGTGTTTGAAAACTTCAGTCACCAATGCAATGCTACAACAGAGTAACTGTGATTTACTTTGATCTACAAGATATTTACATTTTGAAAGAACTGAAATCTTTCATCCCAAAGATTATTAAGACTCCTTTGGTTTTCTTAGTATTTAGTTCTTTGTGCTCCCGGTATTGTTTTGGCTATTTGTTTAATTGTCCTGTTCTGTAACTCAATTCATTCTAGTGTCATTGGTTAAAAGTTGAGTCAATTTGAAATATTTCTGTCTCGTGTTGCAAATTGGGAGAATTACAGAGATTATAGCTAATGGTTATATAAAAAAAATCTTGTTGTCCTGAGAGTGTATGTTTCTAAAAAGTTATGGGTGCAAATCACAGTGGCCAGATGTCCACAAATGTGAACTCCTTGCAAGCCTTAATATGAGAGAAAGGGTTGGCAGACCTTTTGAATTGTTACATTTCTTATCTCGAACCAGTCTCTTCCTCAGTTGAACATTATGAACTGCAGTTAGCAAAGGCCAGGTATCGTAGATTTTCTCCGAGCCAAATGTTGGACCCAACTCAGTATTAACTGGGCAGATTCAGGAAAATCTTAAATGGCTACTTCTCATAGTTGACTGATTATCCAATGTACAGTATCTCGAAAGTACATCATACTTGAATTGATCTGGGAAAGAAGTTTTTAAATGTCTTTGATTTGTTTTCATTCAAAATGCTTGCATTAGTCTTTAAGACATTTACAGTGGCTCTTATATGAAAGCAAAAACTGAATTGTATGTATTAACTGCATGGATACATAAACTCCAAGCAAGCTGATAACACCATGTATAGCAAAAATGACCAAAAAACTGTTGTACAAGATCCAAACAAGGTCACAGGACAGGAAACACTGCGTGGGTGGATAGAGTTGGCGGTCGGAGCACGACAGGATATTACAATACACAAGCGCCTGAGACAAATCCTGTTTTGGGGCTTTCTAAAAATTCCTGAATTGTTGAGTGATTTGAAGACTGAATAAAATGACATATTATCAGAGGCAGGCAGGCATGTATGTAAGTAAGTAACATGGAAACACCATCTTAAAAGTGCAAAAACCTGACTAGTTACGAGATATTCAGGATGACTAGTTAACAGAGGATCATAATTAACATTTATTGTGGGAAATAGCTGGAATATTGAATGAGTGATAAGTGATGTGAGATTGACTATTTATCATGGAGCGAGTTATCACAGCTTCACTGTAATCATCCCAGGTGGGCACCTTCTATACAATTGTCATCCCAATGCTTTGACAGACTTCTCTGTCCACCACCCACCACCCCTAACCATTTTATTTGTAATTTTCAATTCTACATTTGAGAATGTCAGATATGAAAAATGCATTATGTCATTTCAACTGGTTACCATGGAGCATCTTGCATGATTGTCATCAAACCCTTATAGATATGTCTACAATACCTTTCATTGATAGGTTTATGAATGAAGCTTTCAAGGCCACTCAAAGAAAACTGAATAAACCCAAAGAGCCTGTCACTGCTCCTTGCTTTGAAAATGAATTCAGACTGCACTGCATCCCTGTGACTCATTACAGTGATATTGATGTATAAATTGGGAGTTGTTCACATTAAATTATCACAAAAGGTTGTAGAATTTGACACAAACACAGAATGCTTTATTATTGAGCTTGATTTGATATTGTTGGATCACGCTAAAAGCAGGCTGAGAGGAGAAAAAAGAATCACAAGCTTCATACTCCAATCTTAATCATAAGATCACAAGAGAGGTTCAGATGAAGAAAACCCTTTGGCCCATTTGATTTCATCCTTCCAGAACAACTACCCTACCATCCTCCTATAAAAGCTGGGCAGCCCACTTCTGTCTTGGTTATCAGAACTGTACGTAATAATATATATGCCTGGCTCAGTTGATTCACTGTTGCTTCTGTTTCAGAAGGTTGTGTATTCAAGCTCCACTATAGGATTTTTAATTGATTTAGTCTATGCTGTCACTCCTATGCAATGCTGAGGGTGTGCTACATTGTTGGAGGTGCTGTCCTTCAGGCAAGACATTAAACTGATGTCCTGCCTCCATGACAGCTTTGCCAACAATCCCTCTGATAAAATTGAGCATTCACTTCATAGTTGTTTGAATGTAAATTGGCTGCCATGTTAGCCTACAAATACACAGTCACTTCACGTTACACTGCAGTATATTCTGTGAAGCATTTTGAGGCAACCTCCTGATGTGAAAGGCGATATATCAAATATAAGAATTATTTATTTATTGGTAAGTGTGGAGGGTGCTTTTGCACTTCACTGCTTCATATGAAATAAGTTGTCACCTCTTCAGAAAATAGAATAAGCCTAAAATGCTTATAAACTTGGGTTATAATTAGAAATTAGAAATCCAGTGAAGCCCAACCACCTTCTATTTCAATAATTTGTCAGATTTCCAGTCCACTTCCCTTTGGCAGCTTGCAATAATGTTTTATTGGTTGTGGTATTTATTATTAGCCTCTTTAACGGAATAAACATTTTTCTTTCCATGACTTCCTAAACCACTGATTTAAAAAAATGCTCCTTATGGTAAAAATGATTGAATGCTACAAATTTAAAATATCACAACCAAGACAGAGAAGGAAGGAGCTATGCAGAGGAATTCCAGGAAGATGAGAGCGGGTCAGATTGGCTGAAGACTCACCCAGAGATGTTGGAGCTGGCCAGGGCTTTGAAAAATGAAAGTCCCTGCCATTGAATGTTTTACAGCATTTTCATTTACTCTAATTATAATCCTGATACACCTATTACATCAAAACTCTTCACATGCAATTACTGTCAAGTATTTACAGATACAAATGTAAGTTGTTGTACAGGCCAACACAGTAGCCACTTTACACATAGCAAGGTCTCTCACAGACAGTCATGCAGCGAATGGCTAATTTTGTATATGGTGCATTATTGGCCAAAATATCAGGAGAAATTCCCTTGTGTTTTTGAATAGTATATGGAACCTGAGCAGACAGGTGGGACTTCAGTTCAGTGTCTCATCTGAAAGACAGTACGTCCGACAATCCAGCTCTACCTCAGTCCTGTGCTGGAGTGTCAACCTAGACGATGAGCTAAAAGTCCTGATGTGTGCTTCAACCCATATCCTTTAGTCCCAGGGGCCAGAATGCTTCCAACTGAACCAAGCTGACATTGTATTTGTTTGTAAACCCATTAACTTGCTGCAGGTTGACCCAGGCAGATCATTGGACCATATTCTCCATGATTTTACTGAGGTGGGAGGGAGGTGAAGTGATTCAAAATAATAAATCAAATGGTAAGTTTCAACGAGACCACTCACCACATGGTCGCAACCTCGAAATCTCAGACAGCCTAACCTTATAACATGGGAACTAATTGCAATAATTGAGAATTATACAATATAAATGCATTGTATTGCTGATAATCTTTAGAAAAGAATGTTTTCAATTATGAATATTTGGCAGTATCTTTTAAAATGATGTACTTGGGTATTTTGAATGAAAACTTTTTTTCTGTGAGTTACTGGAACAGAAGAATAAAAATGATAATCATTTTGGAAAGTGCGAACATGAATCAATTTAGAAAACCTGGGTTGTGTTGTACATAAAATAATTATTGGAGCGCAAGACAGGCAAAATGACAATATCTTCAAATTCTTAAAATTCATGCAATTTAACCTTCAGAGTAAGATTTCCCATAATCAGCCATGCAATTTTTTGTTTGAAAAGTCTTTACTGAATGATCTTAAGTTACAACCCTGCAATATTTGGAAATAAACACAAAATGCACCCGTGTTCTTTTAGACTTGAATTTTGCTGATTTTAAGGTTGAAATTGTACCATTGTGCAGGCTAGATCAGAGTTACCGCCTTTCATTTTATTTCCAATTTTGCAATGCAATAAACTGCCTCTGATGCCATCCATGTATGAATTTTACACTACATATGATATTAACCCATGGTAACGGTCAGACTTCAGCAGGTGGTCAGGCTTACAGGCCTCTCTGTCCCCACTTTCTGGAGCTCCATCCCAGAGTCCCTTTGCCCTTCCCCTCGCCTCCTTCAAGTTCTACCTCAAGACCTTCCTCTTTGACTGCGCTTTTGGCCATTTCCCCCACTCACCCCTCCATTTTGGGTGTAAACTCTGGACCATTCAATGCCTTGGGACATTGTCCTAAGGTGAAAGGCACTAAATAAATACAAATTCCTATTGTATCTGTATTATAAGCTACAAATTTCTATAGCACCCTTCACGAAAATGATAATAATATCCTCAGCAAGAAAAAAACGCTAAGACGTTCAATGTATAGATACATACGTGTAGAAAATGTGCAGGAAAAAATCTATGAAGTTAGGTGCAGCAAATTTATGAAGCACTTCAACTTTCCATGAGAAAGCCACGCAGTAGGTGTGCTCTTGTACTGTACCTGCCAATAGGAGAAGAAAGACGCTGGGCTGAGAAGGTTGGGGATGGTGGAGTGGCGACCTCCCAAGTATTCATCAGTGCAAACCTCGCAGCTTTCCAAGTCTCTCCAGTCCCAGTATGGGATTGTGAAATTCTCATCGCCTGCAGTCTTTCTTATCTCGTTTTCCCAGAGCAGCAGGAAAGCCCTGTGCCAGGGCAGGAAGGCTGGGGCTTCGTGGGCAAAATCAATGTCCTTCCAAACCCTGGATGCACCCAATAGGGTGTCCCTCGAGACGTAGTAATGCATCCACACAAATAGGTCGTAAACACTAATGTCTCTGAACATGGGGTTAGAGCCATTGCTCATCTGGGTGTATGTTCCTACAGCTATCTGATAATCCTGACTGATAGTACTTTTTGCCAGGTTGAGGTAGGCAAGAAACTTGTCCTTCTCTGCACCGGATAATTCAAGTATATTTTTCCTGATGGATGTGCGTCTCGCTGTGCAGTTAATGCCGAAACGACCAAACCTGCAGTCCGCGCAATTGAAGCCCATGAAGTTCTCAGCGCAGTGACAGGTCCTGGTGTAGAAGACAGACGGCCAACCCTCTCGATCATCCACACCCGACAGGGGGAACTGAGGTCCATTTGGAGCATCCGAAACTGAAACGTCCTGACAGGATCCTCTTCCCGAGAGCTCCCCGCAGGGAGACCCGTCTCCACTCCAAGCTGGGCAACACTCCTTTCTCATCAGATTGTCGGCAGGGGTGCAAGCTCGAGGAAACTGCTGAGAGGAAGGTTTGAGGAGACTCAGAAAGCAGAGCAGCAGAAATCCCATACTTTCTGGTCAGCTCCTCTGGTCCCAATTCTGCACAGAGAGTAGAGTGAGGAGCTGCACCTAACCTTCCTCCTGCACCATGTGGCTTGGATTAAGGAGAGGATTCTTTCATTCCTGACATTGCAAATCACTGTGAAATCTCAAAGCTCACCCCTCCCCCAGTCCATCCACCCCCATTACACCCCCTTCCTTCCTTTCTTTTTCTTTCTTTCTCTTTCTTTCTCTTTCTTTCTTTCTCTTTCTTTCTCTTTCTTTTTCTTTCTTTCTTTTTCTTTCTTTTTCTTTCTTTTCAAGTTGCACATTTGTCTTTGTCCAGAGAATTATTAACATTCTACTTTCAGCAAATCTTTCCAATGAGATAATTAAATCGCCCTCAAGCTGTGCAGTTTCAGGAATGGTTTCCTAATTGTTCATTTTTTTTTCCCCATTAAAGATCAAGCAGTCTGTTCAATGAACAGGGCTAACGGTGTCCAATTGATAAAGTACGCTTATTAAAATAAGTGGGGGAAGTATAGACTTTGCAGAAGCCGCCTGGTGATAACATTAATTGCTGCTTAAACAGTAAAGTTTGTCACTGGCATTAATGATAACAGTTCCCCAGATCGACGTTTCCTAGAGCAGACATGAACAATAATAAGATGAGACATGTATCGACTGATGTGTATGTGTTTTGCATCGCACAGAAGTAGCAGTCTTTAATGAACACATTTTCTAAACAAATACTATCACCATTTAGGGTAGTTTGCATTTTCACTGTTGGCTTGTTTTAACACACCAACTCTACTTTATAGGGAGTTTAAAATATACTGTATGCTGCTCGTCAAGTTTATTCCATTTATGAAGAAAAAGAACAAGATGCCATTTCATTCCTTGTGAGCATTACGAAAGGGGATCACACAATAAGAAGGTATTTATTTCTAAGTCATGAGTCAGCTGGCAATGCCTGAGGTTGTGGGACAGATGCTCATGGGACTGCAGCCAGCATCACGGTTAATTCATGAGCCCACATCATATGATTCCACAGAAAGCACGAGATGCTTTAATCCGCCTTGAGGAACATTTAGCTTAAAGAAACATCAAACCAGAACTACAACAAACTGCAGGGAAAACTTGTACTGCCTTGCTAATTTTGAAGAAAGTCATCAAGTTTGTGGAAAGTTATGCAGTTTGCAATGCCTCTTATCATTCATGTTTCACACTCTTAAAACGATTATTACTCAGAGTTCAATAATTTAACATTTGAACATTTGCAAACCAGACACAGTTCTTCTCCAAGTTTAGACTTTTAAATCCGTTTTAACTTTGAAATATGCATACAGCATGTCTTTTTCAGGAGCGAGAGGGAAAGCTCTCTGTGATAATCTAGTACCAAAGCAGGTTAAGCTTGTGATGTATAAAAGGTATTGCCAAACAGTTCTTCTTTATAGTTCCCATCTCCTGGGTATGCAATGGAAATATTTCTTTTGGGAAGTCTATGACCAAGTAATGAGGTGGATTTCCGATAAAATGTGGGCGCAAATACAGAAGCCTCTGACCTACACTGACCTGCCGCTCAGTACGCTGGAGGTGGAGATGGTTTCACAGATGGCAGTGTCTTCTCTTTGCTATGGCCTCTTACATGAGGACTAGGAATAAAACAGTTGGTGTTGAGTAAGTCTGGTAGACCCGGCATTGCCCTTAGAATTCTATAATATCAAGGAGGCTAGCACTCCACATATTGTCTTGTATAGGTCCTCCCCTTCGGTCACTGTCCTTCCACGGATCAGAATGTAATTTTGTTGTTCTTGTTAAATGCTGTCAAATAGCTGATGGGGAGACTCTGATATCTGCTAGAGTCAAGGCCTGGGCCAACAGAAAAGTGTGGAAATATTTACCAAAAATTGCGGGGAGGTTTGCAAAGTTTGTAGAAAACTGCGGGGGGATTTTTGACACATTTTCCAGAAAATGGCGGGGAGATGATTGGTGCTAATTAGGTAAATTGTCCGCCAACCTACATTTTTTCACTTCATCGATAAAAACTAAACACGAAGAAATAACACATATTAGATTGTTTCCAAAAAAAAATTACTTCTTTATCAAAAACTGGGTGGCCTTTTTTTTTGGAGATGGGGACACCAGTGAGGCTACACGAGCTCTCAGGGCCCAGCACCGCAAGCAGACCCAGAGAGAGAGACATACACAAACATACACACTCAGAGACATAGAGAGAGACACACATACCTAGACACACAGAGAGAGACACAAACTCACAGACAGAGACACACACACTCAGAGACACAGCGAGAGACACACAACAACAACAACAACAACAACTTGCATTGATATAACATCCTCCACGATGGGCGGCGTCTCAGAGCGCTTAACAATGGTGGAGCTCGAGGCCGAGCCAGGGGGAGTGGGAAGGTGACTGTAGGGCGTGGTCAAAGAGGAAGGTCTTCAGGCGCGACCTGAAGATGGGGAAGGAAGGGGCAAAGCGAACGAGTTGAGGGAAGGAGTTCCAAAAGATTCGGGGCATAGTGGCTCAAGTCATGGCCGCCGATGGTGGAGCAGAGGATTCAGGGGATACGGAGGAGGCTGGACCCGGAGGCAGCTGATACTGCTGTGAGGAGAGAGAGGTTAGAGAGATAGGGAGGTGCCAAGGAATGTAGGGATTTAAACACGAGAGTGAAGATCTTGAATTCGATCCGCTCTGTGACAGGGAGCCAGTGGAGTTTGGCAAGGACTGGAGTAATCGGGATATGAAGTTGGTGCAGGTGAGAATGCAGGCGGTGGAGTTTTGAATGAGCTGAATTTTGTGAATAGTGGCGGATGAGAGACCGGTGAGGAGATCACTAGAATAGTCCAGCTAAGAGGTGACAAAGGTATGGACAAGAGTTTCGGCACTTTTGAGGTGAGGTATTGTCGGAGATGGGCAACGAGGCAGAGGTGGAAGTAAGTGGTGCTGGTCAGGGACTGGATTGGGAGAGGAAGGAAAACTGAGGATCGAACCTGACGCCTAGGTTGAGCACAGGTTCAGAGAGTTTTAAGGACATGTCGGGTAGGTTGAGGAGGTCAGAACTGTGGAATAGAAGACGTCGACAGGAGCGAAAGAGTAAGGCTTCCGTCTTGTTGACATTTAACTGCAGAAAATTTGCACTCATCCAGTTCCTGATGTCCGACAGAAAAGCTGACAGAACATCAGGGGACTGGGGGTCGCAGCTGGAAGTGGAAAAGTAGAGTTGAGTGTCATCCACATACATGTGGAAGTTAACCTCGTGTCTGCGGATGACATCACCAAGAGGGAGCATATAGATGAGGAAGAGAAGGGGCCAAGGATGGATTCTTGAGGTACCCCACAGGTGACCGGGTGGAAGCGCGAAGAAAAGCCATTTGCAGAAATGTAGTGCTGGCGGTTTGTAAGGTAGGACTCGAACCAAGAGAGTGCAGTCCCACTGAGGTGGATGATGGAGCACAGGCAGTGGAGGAGGATGGCATGATAGACTGTGTCGAATGTGGTGGAGAGGTCCAGGAGGACGAGGAGGCAGAGGGAGCCCTGATCACAGATAGACAGGATATTGTTTGTGACTTTCACGAGCGCAGTCTCTGTACTGTGGGCAGGTCAGAAACTGGACTGGAGGAGTTCGAATAGGATGTCTAGGGAGAGTTGTGCACGAAGTTGGTTGGCGACAAAGCATTCCAGAGATTTGGCAAGGAAGGGCAGGTTTGAGAAAGGACGGTAGTGGCCGAGGTTGGAGGCATCGAGAGTAGCTTTTTTTAAGGAGGAGGGTGATGACTGCGGTTTTGGAGGGGGAGTGGTACTGATCCTGAGGAGAGAAACCGGTTAATAGTGTACACATACTCACAGACACAGAGAGACACACATTCTCAGAGAGAGATGCACACTCACATAGAGACACTCACAAACAAAAAGAGAGACACACACAAGCGCACCCACAAACACACAGAGGAGAGGGAGATAGAGACATACTCACACCAACACTTACAAACAGAGAGGCACACACAGAGACACAGACAGACACTCACTCATGTATATAGAGAGACATACACACAGACAATCTTACACACTCAAACACAGAGACAATCACAACAGCGGGGCCTCTGAGTGAAGCCAATTTGTCGCTTGCGCTGCTGCGTGCATGCGCATACACAGCAGCCCCACCCACAATGGGGTCAGGTAAACAGGCCTGTGGGCCAGAAACTACATTCATAGCGGGTGTGTAGTGCAGCAGATTGTTTGTGGCGGATTCCTTGGAAAAAGTGTGGCCCGACTTTTCTATTGGCCCAGGTCAAGGCTCCTGAACAAATACTCACATTTCTATGGCTTGGTATCTACCCTGATTGGTATGCAGAGAGGTAACCAGCTGCTGCTGAAGCTCTACATTGCCAATTACCATTGCCACCATTCAATAATAATAATAATCCTTGCATTTGATATAGCTCATTTCACGTCTTCTAGACGTCTCAAAGATCTTCACAGAATATGCTGTAAAGTGAATTGACTGTATATTTTGTGGGCGAAATAGGCGGTGATGTGTGTCTAAACTGTGGGCAAGATGATGTCAATGCTCTCATGCATTTCATGCTGAGTTGTACTCATTAAGAGACTCACAAGGAGTTCCTGGTACCTGTTATCCACCAGTGAGGACTTAATCCTTCACTGTCAGATGGTTAATGACCAATTATTCACTATTCTTTTGAGGGAGATGAACAGTTTCCTTAGGGTTGAACTGTCTGCAAGGTGATGTGCCTGGCCATGAAATATCAGATTTTAAATGATCTTCTGTGGTGCTCTTGGTTGTCCAGTTACTGAGCCACGCGGATCTGCAATACTCCAATACATTGTTGATGATAGATCAGCCAGTCTAGCTCATTGGCTGGAAATTTGGAGGAACAGACCAGTCACAAGGGGTAGAAATTCTTCCCTTTTGCTCCTGCATCCTGAAGTTCTGATGAGTACAGTTGTCCTCGCTGGTAGTAAATTTGCCAGACAGTGATCACAA